ACATAGTGGAGATTTTTCAGCTCCCCACATTCAGGTCCTCCTGTCATAGCCATTCATGTAGAACACAACTCTCAACTGATAACTAACTCGGTCCCAGGCTGGCGGTCATTTCACTCCGTCCTTACAGTTTTCTCTTTACAGGCTGACTTCGAACTGACAACTGAACTCTCTCACTCACCAAACAGCCACTTCACCTGACTTTAATCAACTGAACTGCTGACAACTTTTACTCGGCACGAACGACATATAGAACATGATTTTCATTGTTATAGTCTAACCATGACGTAATGCATTAATATCCGTTGCCGTGGGAACCCGTTTACCAAGCAGTTGCCTAGCAATATCCCAGGGATTGTTGACGTGTTTACCGGCCGCTACATTATCTTGGGGAGGGGGGCACGGGGTAGCGTAGTTGGTTGAGGGCTAAGCTACAAGCCGGAAAGTCGCGGGTTCAAGTCCCAATGAGGTCATTGGATTTTTTTTTAATTGACTTAACCCTTCCAGCCGCACTATGGCCTTGGGGATCACTCAGCCTCTAACAGAAATGAGTACCAGGAATTAATTAAATAATTAGTAAAGCGCGGCCGGCGCGTAAGGCTCACAATCTTACCGCCATTTTTGAGCTAATTGTCTAGATAATGTAGGACCCTCAACGTCTCACAACCCTATGGGCCTTCATGGCCTAGTACAGGGATAGCTTTACTTTACTTTTACATTATCTTTGTGTTCTGTATCGTGCCCAAAGTAGAGAACAGAACAAAGAGTTGCACTTTTTATAGGCCTACATTATTCACGCCTGAAACTAGGGACTTGAATAGAAAAGACTGGGGTTTGAAGATCAGCGTGAATGTGGCCTCAGGAAAATAATGCACTATCTTAGTGTGCAGAGTTACAGCAAGACATACAAAACAATTTTGTAATCTGGACATTATTTACTACATTTTACAACTTTCTGAATTGAAGATATCATGTTACCATCATGCATTTCTTTAGAACGAAATAGCGTTGTGAATTTCTCTCTCTCTCTCTCTTCCTTTTGCCTTCTTCTTTTTGTCTCTGCTTCCCTTCAACGAAGTGTTATCAAGGAAACGATACAGATGTCCCTGGGATTGATTAAATAAGCACAACACCATGAAACCACACATCTCCAATATTCTTAAGCTCTGCACTAGATGGAGGCGAGTCAACTTCACGCCCCTGTCCCTGAACCCCCCGTGGGAAGAGCCCCGGATACTCATTGCACAAAAGACTGGGTGACCCCCAGTGCCGATCTGGACCCTGTGCACAAGAAAACTATCTCATTACGCAGTCTGGAATCGAACCTCAATTCCTCGGCTATCCAGTTCACAACCCGACTGAACTATCCCCGTTCCAGCGAAATGTTATACGAGCAGTATAATATTGTCACGTGTCCGGGGTTCCTCGATGAATAATAACGGATTTTGGATTGCATGATTGGATTTATTGACGCCTTCTATTACAGTCACTCTTAATTACAACAAATTATATCAGCTCACAAAAATGACTGTGTAAGATTCGCTCCAATCCTTACTGGACTACGAGTGTCTTCTCTTCTGCGTGACTGACTTGATTCTGATTTACGTACGGTCACTTCTTCGCCTTCCGCTGTCCGCTGGTTAACACTCCACAGCTGAACACTGAACTCTCTTACGAATGCCGAATAATTGAACTTTCGCGAACTGAACTGAACTCAACTGAATTGAACTCTCCTTTTATAACTTCGAAGCGAGTCGAATATAGATTATCACCTCGTACTGTTCGTCTGTTAATGCGTCTATTCGTTACAGCGGGAACGTGCTTACCGAAAGGTTTTCTAGCAGTGGACTATTCCGCGTCTATTCATTGCGCGGGAACGTGGCGAGTCGTTTCTAACAGTGAATCACCCCGGATTTCATGTGTCATGTCAGTATATTTTTGTGGACGAGTAAAATATTTGTTCACAGTCATACTGACTGCATATCTGTTCTTGAAATATACACTCGATAAAAATTATTTCCGCACCTCCTAAGTAATACTCTTTATGGACCTGACTCCAACTTTCTTAATGTGACGGAAGGCTAAAGGAACATGATCAGTTTGTAATAATATATCGACAAAGAGGTAATTTCCTTGGGAGCCAAAATATCGGATTTTTTTTTTAAATTGCAAGTAAAAATGTAATGAAGCGATGTTGACAGTTTGGAAATCTTGTTGGTGATGACGCACTGAATAAAGACAAAGTCAGGCGGCGACTGAACGAGTGCGAGACAAAGCTGCTTGTTGAATAGGAGGTATCTCTTCATCTCAGCCGCAACATACGTTTTCGCCAAAGAGCGAGATCACACAATACTGATTATAGCGGTCACTTTGGTTTCTTTTTTCTTGTCGTTTCGTTCATTGCTAAGCCTCTTTTGTTTTGTTTACTTTGATGGTTTTGGGCAGTGCTTTATTCTGAGTGGGGGGGGGATATAATCAAAAACGTCGAGTCTTTGTGTGCCGTTATGAAGAGTTTACGGTTTAAACGAGCATTCTATTACATTGCACAGTAATGTAGGACCCAAATGCTGTCACTTTTACTGTATTTTCCTTTCGCATATAATTTGTTATGTCAGCCATATTAGCCGCACTGTCTAAAGCAAGGTCTGTCTTCGCTCGCTCGAACACTGGGATATTGGGTTCGAATCCCACTCAGGGAATGGATATTTGGTATGTGTACGCGTATATTCTGTGTTTATATTGTCCTGTATCAGGTAATGGCCTGGCGACGGGCTGATCACTCATCCAAGGAGTACTACCGTCTATGAAAAATAATAACGAAACTGAATGAGAGGCCTCAATAGGGTAGACGAGCCATTGAAAAAAATATAATTTGTTATATGAATAGTTTTCGACATTGTTTACGAATTTGTATTAAAAATTTTATATGTCACGCGGGTCTACTTCATTTTTTACATGTAGCAGATGTTTCTTTTTTTCATATTGAGAATGTCTATCCAACGTCGTGTCTCGTCTTCCATATCGCTTAACGAATTTACAATCAGCCATACAATGTCCAGCCTGAGCACTCAGGCTCCCACCCTGTAGAAAAATTGTTTTCAGTACGGCTATCAAAAATTTCCAGCCCCTTGTTGTGTTAATCTTAGCTTTTCTCTTATTAAGCAACCCGGAAAATATGTGTTTTATACACTTCCCAGGATTGTCGCTTGGATCACTAGGGCTACTGAACCATCCCACTGCGACAAAGGGTTAACCATCGAGGGATATTTCATTGAAATATGTCAGACTCTACACTATAGGTTCTGGAATGTTTGTTTTTTCAGAGTCGGTCAAAATTTTCCCCTAATTTAAATACAGCTCAGTTTAAAAATGGACCGCCTCTGTGGTCTAGTGGTGTTTCTGACTACATATCCAGACATCTTGGTTCGATTCCCGGTGCTACCAGATTTACTGAGAAGTGGTGGGTCTGGAACGTGATCCACTCAGCCTCATGAGGATGATTGAGGAGCTATTTCAAGGAAATAGCGGCTCCGGTCTAGAAAACCTTTATTAACGGTCGTGGGGATTCGTTGCGCTGACCACGTGACATCCTCTGTCCGCTAAAGTTGGCATTAACTTCGCCGACAAGCGGAGGTCTCTCGGTCGGTATAGTTCGCTTGTGGGCTAAAGCCACGAAATTTGTTGTTTTTTGTTTTCAATTCAAACATGGGTACATTTCATTCGTTAATTATAAAACTACAAGCAGGAACAAATACGCAATGCGTTTACGTATTGTCATATTGTTTCTATTTAGTGACTTGGTTCAGAGTCTTAATACGTAGCATAGTATGTCAGCACTTTATTGGCTCAGTCAAAAATAGATTTTAAAATTCATGTAAGATTTGAGGTTTTCACGGCGGTGACTATGAAGAAAGCAGTTTTCTGGGATGTGGCACCGTGTAGATGTGGTGTTAACCAAAGTTTCGGAGGAACGTATGGTCTCCATCTTCAGGGTAGCAGACTGCTTGTACCGGTTCTCAAGGTCTCTTCGCTTGCCGATTTTCTTATTTTTCCTTCTACCCTGAAGATGGAGGCGATACGTTCCTCCGAAACTTCGGTTAACATCATATATACACGGTGCCACATCCCAGAAGCCTGCTTTCTTTAAAATTCATGTTTCTCTCTGGACAAATTACAAAACGGTCTCTACACCATATTTCAGAAAGTTATCGCTTCAGATCCCATATACGTCAGTTGATATATCGTGCTTAAACAAACGAAGATAGGAAGATCAGTGCAAGTTCCTCATTATTCGTATTTTCTTTGTACATTTTAATAATAAGACGGAGTAATGGAGAAATTATATCGGTCATTTTCCTGCATTTTAATTCCGAAGTTACTAAACACATTTTCATTAAATTCTGTAAAGGGAAGTATACTCTGACAGTTATACAACGACTTTAATTTTCTAGCTGGAGTTCCAATTTATTCTCTGTTTTGAAAGTAGCTCAACTCTGTCTACTTATATCTATCGATTTTCTCAAATCCCATTTATTACAATGTGTTGAAACATGGCATAAAATATTTATCTGAAATATTCATTTCAAAACGTTCCGTGTGGCCTGTAATCACTGAAAACATGAACCAGTTTGTGGGTATGTAGTGTTGGCTGTAGCTTTGACAGCTGTAGAGTACACCTGGTCGTCGACTTACGACCGACTTCCGTTATGACTGAAAGGTCGTAAGTCGATCTGGTTGTATGTCGGCCATATATTTTTTATTTATCATCTTCATAATTTATTTTTAAAAACTTTTACATTTTAATCATCTTTTATTTTATTTTTTTTTGTGGTCGTAATTGCGGCCGGTCGTAAGTCTCATAGGTCGTAAATCGACGACCAAGTGTATTTGTGGCTGTAACAGATTAACATTAGGGCATGTGGGGCATGCACAAAGCCATTTGGAATGTAGCATTAAGACCAAAGAGATGTGATTATTTACTTCTCACGATGTGCTATTCTCAGGGGCCATATTCACGGAGGACCAAAAGGACAGCAGCGCTGAACTTGCCTTCAAGTACGCAGTGTACCGCATCAACAAGGACAGACACATCCTGCCCCGCACGACTCTGGTGTACGATATTCAGCACGTGCCAAGGGACGACAGTTTCCACGCCTCCAAGAAAGGTAAGCCATCTCAGTTGAGACTTACACGTATCTCATATTCATATAAACCTATTAGAAGCAACCATTTCTCTTTTAAATATATTTATTTTAAAAGAGTCAATAAATGCGTATCCACCCAGCCACCCAGCCATCCACCCAGCCACCCACCCATCCGCCCATCCGCCCATCCGCCCACCTACCCACCTGCCTACCCATCTATCTATGGCTCTACACCCCTTGTGGACCTCCACCACTCTTTTCAGTTTCTTAATCTATACACACTCGGTAGGACTCCTTGAACGGGAGGTCAGCCCTTCGCAGGGCCGTTGCCTACACATAGAAGAACAGAAACAGAATAATCGCACACAAGCATCCATGCCTCGAGTGGGGCTCGAACCAACGATTCCAGTGTTCGAGCTGTCGAAGACGTTTCATGCCTTAGAGCACACGGCCACTGTGATCGATAAATGAGTAACTAGATGGTATAAATTGATTTCTGGCACTGGATACAACTTTTAATTACTTATTGTAAAGCGCTTGTTTATTTTTCATAGCTAATAGTTGTATATGCATCACGGACATAGTACTGAATATCTACATAGCTTTATCGTCTCTCGGTTTGTTGTTTAAAATACGCACTTTTTCAATATTTGTCATTGATTCTGTATTTGCATATGTATGTGTGTGCGTTTAAATGATGCTGCAGATCGCTGTTGCATAACTAATTGACATGGTGCCCCATACAGTTACATGTTCTTGATTATTGGGATATACCAGTTTGTTTAAAACATATACACAGTGAGACTGTGGACACGTGACCATGAATACATAGAATAATGACGAATACAATAATATTTTAAAATCTTATTTTTCAGAAAATATTTATTTCGATTCAACTTCAGAACAATTTTATCTTCATTTACCTTCTCCTTTTTTCCCCCCCTGGTACTACAGCCCTAAAGTGGGCCTAGGCCTACCTCCATGAAACTCTCCGTTTCACTTCGGTTTACTAGATCTTAGACATTCGGTAGGACTCCTTGGGCGAGTGATCAGCTCGTCGCAAGGCCTCTACCTGTACACAAACACAGAAAAACGCACACCAAACATCCATGCCCTGAGTGAGATTCGAACCCACGATCCCGGCTTCCGAGCGAGCGAAGACAGTGCATGCCTTAAAGTTCGGCCACACAGAGCGCTACGTACGCGAAGCACGCTACGTACGTACGTACGTAGCCAGCTGGGAAGCCAGCTACTAACCGCTTGAGCTATGGCGCGGCCTTACAATGGAACAGGTACTTTCTGTACGGTTCTTGCCATGGCTGTATAATGAGATTCCCAGTATAATCGAAGTTCTAATAAATCCAATCACATGATCCAGAACCCGTTATTTTCGTCACGCGTAACCCCTTACATGTGACAATATATATGTTTTCGGAGACAACTTGAATGAGATCTGACAGATGGTAGAGGTAAAGGCATCTCCCCTCCACAAAACGATTACGCGCTTATATTCATGAAGAGAGAGTAATTTTATCACAGCACCATGTTCTCCACTCTTCTTCTTTCACTTGGAAAGATTCAGAAGGAAAAAAATTTTTATGAACAACTCTCCTCTGTGTTTTTGCTTCTTTCTTGCCACGATGTGCCTATAAATATTTCTTGGGGGTTTCCTTCCTGAGTCAGCAGTATCATTTCGAATTTCTTCGATTTCTTATTCTCTTATTTCCGAATAACATTTCTAGGTTTACATTTATTTTTCTCAGCTCTTTTCCTATATATTTTACGTCTACTCGAATTTTTTTTGCCGATAAAGGAAAGGTTAAAAAGATATAGTTTGGGCGTAGGAACCCAAGACCTCTCTTTGGGTATGGAGGAAAGGAAACTTTCTTATTATTATTCATTATCAGCCTTTTCTCTCTTTATATTTCTTAACAGATAATTTTGATATATAGCATATATGATATGAATATTGAGAATTTTGATGTCGGATTTGGATCACAGTATATTCCGTTTGTCTTGCAGTATAAGGGCCTGTGTTATATGCAGGCCTTGCGAAAGCGGGCATATGCTCAGGTCCTGTTACGGACAGGGATCACTCTGGTATGTCAAGTGACGGCTGCCCCATTACGGATGAGAGGCCTTCAAGCTGATGCACCGTCGAGACGCTAGCTAATGAGCCACGTTGGCCGTAGCTTGTTTTTTTGTAATGATTGTGAGAGCGTCGAACCGTTGAAAAGGACGCGAGGAAGGATAGACCGGCGCTAATTGAGTGAGACGCCATACTTCCTGCAATAGTGGCCCAAGTCATACTCTTATGCATAGAATATGTACCCTGTAACCTATGTCGAGGGTGCCTTTTCACGGTTGAGAAAACGTTACGCACAAAACGGCTGAAGCTCTGTACTACAACCCCGTTTCTTCACGGACAGGTTCACCACCCCTTTTATTTCACCGTACTGCAATCAGTTGCCAGCCATGATTTCCCCTAGCCAAATGTAATATCTGGTTTTATGTAAATCTGTCCACGGTTTTTGGCGCGTTCAGAGCGAAAATTAGAAAATTACTCACGTTTGCCTTGTCGTCTGTCTGCGGCGAACAATTCGAGAACCAACAAGCGGAGTATAATGAAGAGTTCTGTCTTTTGGCATATAACACCTTGTAGTCCATTACAAGTCAACCAACGTTTCGGAGGAAAATGTCCCCTCCAGCTTAAGGGTTGAAGGGTGTGTCTGCTTGCAACCTGTTTTCACGCTGGTTTCTTGCTCGGCTTATTGTTCGACTCTGAAGATGGAGGCGACGTCTTCCTCAGAAGCGTCGGTTGACTTTCAGCTGATTATGCGGTATTATATCCCAGAAGCTGTAACACTTCATAACCGCCACTGTTATAACCTCAAATCGTAATAGTTAAATGAGATTTTATATTACGGACTTTTTGGTAAATTTTGGCGTAACATTCAAATTTGGATTCAAATCGGACAAAGTAACTAACACTTTTACATGAAGACCTATATGCCTTTCTGCTTTGTCTCACTATGGTATTCAGCGGAGCCAAATGTGTTTGGAACAAAAGTTATTTAGGTAAATAAAACACGTGGTTTTGATGTCCATAACACTTACCCATAAGTCTTGAGCTACTTTCTACATAATGACACGAAAAAAAAATTCAAGCTGTGTGCAGTCGCCAACTTCAGAACCGTTCGACTAATTTTGATGGAATTCTCTACTAAGTTTATTACACAAAGTTACCTTTAGTCAGAAGAGGGTAACTCTTTGGCAAATAATTTTTAAACCGCGTTCACAACTACATTATTCAAAACTAAATCTTTGACCTGTAGTCCTCAAGAAAACTATACCGACCGAGCGACCGCCGCTTGTCGGCGAAATTAGTGCCAACTTTAGCGGTTAGAGGGTGTCACGTGATTAGTGCAACAGATCCCCACGGCCGTTAATCTCGGTTTTCTAGGTCGAAGCCGCTATTTCCTTGAAATAGCTCCTCAATTATCCTCACGATGCTGAGTGAACCCCATTCCAGGCACACTACTTATCAGAAAATCTGGTAGCGCCGGGAATCGAACCCGGACCTCTGCATCCGTAGCCAGGAACTCTGACCACTAGACCACAGAGGCGGTCTGATTCAAAATGATACAATATGAATTAAGCTAAATGGCATAATACAAACGTACACATTATTAAGAAAGGAGTCTTCTGGGATTTGGCACCGTGTATATGTGGTGTTAACCGACGTTCGGAGGAACGTATCGCCTCCATCTTCATGGTAGAAGGAAAAATATAAGAAATCCGCAGGCGAAGAGACCGTGAGAACGTCGGTTAACACCACATATACACGGTGCCAAATCCCAGAATACTGCTTTCTTCATAGTCACCGCCGTGAAAACCTCAAATCTTACGTACACGTTATTGTCTACAGTGGTCGTGTTCTTAGTGAATGGAATAGAAACGAAACTGATGCATACGTAACTTCGCTCCATGCCATGAACCCCACCACGAAAGAAACTTCTTTGTTTCGGTGAAGCGACGCTGTCACAGGCTAGGGTGTGGAACGTCCAGTAGTACAGCACTGTTCTTAGCTTAATTAGAGTTACTATCCTTGCATTTGTTTGTAGAGACCAAGGAAACTCACGCAAAATCTCGGCGTGGCGGCCTAAGCATGAAACGGACTCTTATCGAGTACCAGACGGAAGCATTACAGCGGGAGCCAATTTGCTCGGTTCATGCGGTTTATCACTGTCTGTCCTTCACTCGTCAAGATGTATCAAGCGCTACAGCGGGTTTACGGTGTACGAGAGCTTAGCAGATAGGTCATTTCCTGTTTTAATATCTAGTCTACCGTTTAATTAGTTTAGGTTCTAATCCTCTTATATACTTCCTAATTGTACAGGTGAAATTGGGGACCGGGATAACTCAGATGGTATAGCGACTGGCTGGACGTCGGATCTTTGATCCCCTACAGGGAAAAGAGATCTTTCTTGACTCCATAGTGTCCAGACCGGCTCTGGAGCCCACCACCCCATCTATCTAATGGGTACCGGGGGCTCTTTCTAGGGAGTAAAGTGACCGGAACGTGAACCTGACCACTTATTTCCATCTAGTGCCCAGATCAAGTATGGTGGAGTTATGTCTTCACTCCTTCACATATATGCATGACATAGGGTTTAATTAATTAAGCGCAGGGACAACGAAGTGTCTGAGTAATGGAAATGTAAATGCTTTTTCGTCGAAACCTAGCCAAACAATTCCTTTAGTTAGGTAAGTAAACTTGAGTGTAAGCCATTGCTTCAAAATTTAAGAGTCATCACCTAAGCCAGTTCGCGATCACAATGCATAGGCCTCTCGAGTGCCTTCATGCGCATGCTTACATAATAACGTATAATAGGAATATGGCAGCAATTACATCCCTTATTTTGTACTTTGTCCGTGGGCAAGCCTATGACTGCATTTAACTAAAGGTTGTGATGGAGCAAAATACCCCGCTAGCATTGTCTTGCCTCTACTTGCGTATT